AAGGAAATGAAGGAAAGAAAGAGAAAGAGAGAGAATGAATGAGGGAGAAAAAAGAAGGAAGGAAAGAAGAAAGGGGATGAGAAAAAGAAGGAAAGAAGAAAGAAAGAAAGAAAGAAAGAAAGAAAGAAAGAAAGAAAGAAAGAAAGAAAGAAAGAAAGAAAGAAAGAAAGACTTACCCTACTCCAGGGGAAGGTTACTGCAAAATCCCAACTCCCTCCCCAACCCCACTAACCTGTTTCCCGTTCTTCTGTGCAGGGCAACAAAAGTGGGACTCGGGAGCGAATAGATGGGGGCGTGGCCAGCCAGAGGTGGGATTTGCCAGTTCTCCAAACTACTCAAAATTTCCTCTACCGGTTTGCCAGATACAGTCAGAACCGGCTGAATACCACCTCTGGCCCAAAAGCTCAGAAAATTAAACCTCTGGTCCCGGTGACCGACCCAGATCGGATCCTGCAATATAGATCTCGTTTCTTCCTTTCTCTCTTTGTTTTTGTTTTTTTTAAACTGGGTGAGTTAAAAGCAACGAAGGCTTTATGCACGTCAGATCAAAACAAACCCAAATCAAAAGTGATTAAAAATAATAGGCGTGTTGATCTACAATTTATTCTGCCGTTGGGTGCTGGCGGCGCTCCAGGGATGCAAGAACTGGGCTCAAAATATCTACACAAATGACGATGTCTTATTAAAAAGAAGCTGTATTTCCGTCATATATTCATAGTATGTTTTTTTCCCCCAGACTAAACGATATGAGTTATTTCGGAAACCTAAGGTTGTTTAGAGAATTTAACGCCATTAATCCAGAAACATCCAAGCGCCTTAATTTAACCCGTCAGCATGAAATATATTTTGCTCACTCGACCCAATTAAACTCAATTAAAATTAGCAGTATAAAATCAGGGTGGAAATATAAACTGGCAGGAGAGAAATAATAGACAGCGGGGCTTGGATTTTAAACCACAATTTAACCGGACTTCTCGCGAGGCTTGCCGATGGAAATTAGGAATAACAGAATAACGGCGTTGGAAGGGACCTGAACACTTTAAACATGATTCAGAAGAAGTGTTTTGTTGGATTTCGCACAATATTCACACAATCATTACAGGCCTTAGCAGAATAACAGAGCCGGAAGGGGCCTTGGAGGTCTTCTAGCCCAGCCCTCTGCTCAGACAAGAGGGTGTCAATTCCATTTCAGACAAATAGCTGTCCAAAACATGATCCCCTTTTACAACGTCCCTACAAGCACAGTTAACGGGGGGAGCCAGATTCACTTCACAACCAGGTCACTCACTTAAAAACCGCAGTGATCCACTTAACAAACGCGGCAGGCAAATTCGTAAAATGGGGCAGAACTCACTTAAAAAATTTCTCACTTAGCAACATACACGTTGGGCTCAATTGTGGTCATAAGTCGAGCTCTACCTGTTATGCAGATTCTTATTTTTAATGTTTTGTGCGGTAGGTTATTACTTGGTGAGTTCGCCCATCTGAAAAGCGTATAGACAGAGTTTCTTTTGTGTGATGTTGAACTGTTATTGTGACAATGGAGTACTAGATTAGAGTAGATTGCTTTAGTAATACTCTTGGATTTAAAAGTAAGCCACGATTTTCCATCTTGTCGTCTACAGTTGGAAAAAAAAGTCTTATTCTCTTCTTCTAAGGTAAAGTTAAAGGTAAAGATTCCCCTCGCACATACGTGCTAGTTGTTCCCGACTCTAGGGGGCGGTGCTCATCTCTGTTTCAAAGCCGAAGAGCCAGCGCTGTCCAAAGACGTCTCCGTGCTCATGTGGCTGGCATGACTCAACACCGAAGGTGCATGGAACTCTGTTCCCTTCCCACCAAAGCTGGTTCCTATTTTTCTACTTGCAATTTTTTTACGGGCTTTCGAACTGCTAGGTTGGCAGAAGCTGGGACAAGTCAATAGCAATAGCAATATTGCTAATACAAGTCACGGGAGCTCACTCCGTTACGCGGCGCTGGGGATTCGAACCGCCAAACTTTCTTGTTCTGCAACTTTTAATTCCACGAAAGAGACTGCCTAGTTGTGTTTTGGATAATGATGAAAGCCTTATTCAAGTACCAGATTCCATATTTGGGGTTGCATCAGTGACATTAGTAGATTGTTTCCAGCTGTTGCATCACCGTGCCTGGTTTCACCGTGGTGTCATATGAAAAAAGTCTACGCAAGTTCAGGGAGGGTAACACAACCATCGCCACCACACACCCGTGGCCCAAGAAACGGGGATAAAACACGGGCTCAGAAATCCCCCATTTTATTCAGCCAAGGAGAATTGTGGTAGAAAGGCTTTGGCTGTGTGTGTGTGTGTGTGTTTTTAGATAATGCAATTTTTATCTGCAGCTTGACAAGATGTAGAAAATAATTACCAATGAAAAGGTTATTCATAATTTTTAAATGAGTTAATTAGTAAGCCCAGCCAGAGCCGGCTCTCATTACATTAATAAATAATTGATTATACTTAAAATTACACACAGTTTTTCATTAAATCTAATTAACTATCTGCATTTCCCCTCCCTACCTGCTGATTAGAACAGTTAGCCCGATAGCGGGAGTCTCCTCATTAAATATGTTTATGTTGAACGGAAACAATTAATTTTGATTTTAACTAATTCTTTGAGAAATTTGTAATTATAATTCATGGCTGTCGCTGAAGGGGGGGGGGGGCGCGGAATGGGATAGTTGAGTTTGTATTTGCTTATTGAGATCTAATGCAAAATAGAAGATAACCACCAAACTGTTAAATATATTTGAATTTACAGTCCATTTTAATTAGTGGAAAAAAACCAACATATTCTGCTTCTGTTCCTTAAACGTTACGCATTTTGAGTCACTCTATATGGGCAGTCCTCGACATGCGACTGTGATGGACCTCACTCAACTGACGTTGGTCATGACAATTGTAAACTAACTGTCACACAATCAAACCAATTTTGTGACCTTTTCTTCTCGTGGTCATTAAGCGAACCCCTTATTCGTTAAGCTGCAGCTTGGCTTAAAACTGGAAGCAACTTTATGATTGTCGGCAAAACCGTTGTAAAACAGATCACGTGACCCTGGGGTGCTACAAATGGTTGTGAATGTGATTGTGTTGCCTGAAGTTTGGTCATATGACTGTGGTGGTTCAGTCATATGACTGTCAGAACCTCGGAACCAAGCTGTAGATACCTCCAGGGAGGTCTGTCAAAACTTCAAACGGTCTCTAAATGGCCGGTCATAAGTTGAGGACTTCCTCAAGTTACAATAGTTCGTTTAGTGAGCATTCGAAGTTACGGCAGCACCGGAAAAAAGAGACTTACGGCCATTTTTCACACTTACGACTGCTGCAGCATCCCCATGGTCGCATGATCAAAATTCGGACACTTGGCAACCGACTCCTCATACTTAAGACGGTTGCAGTGTCCAGGAGTCACGTGATCTGCTTTTACGACCTCCTTGCAAGCAAAGTCAATGGGGAAGAATTATAAACTTAACAAGCAGGTTACTAATTTAATGACTGCAGTGATTCACTTAACAACTGTAGCCAGAAAGGTTGTAACGTGGAGCAAAACGCACTCACCAAATGTCTCAGTTAACAACAGAAATCTGGGGTTCGATTCTGGTCATACGTTGAGGATTACCTAAATCAGTGTTTCTCAACCTTGGCAACTTGAAGTCCTGTGGACTTCAACTCCCAGAATCCCCCAGCCAGCACAGCTTCAAGTCGCCAAGGTTGAGAAACACTGACCTAAATAAACATGAGCCCGACTTGCTAAATTGGTTAGTTGCAACCAACTGCACCTCCTCTTTTCCGCAATTTACACTCCCTTCTAGCACTGATGATGCTACCTAGTTGGGTTATGAAAGGTCTGAAAGAAAACAACCAAGCTCAGAGAGCACCAAGGACCCCACAGTTGTCCTCCTTTTCCCCTCTTTCTCCTTTTCCACAAACCCCACTCCCTTCTAACACTGATGACATTCTCTAGTTGGGTTGTGAAACGTCTCAAGAAAATAATCAAGCTCAGACAGCATCAAGGAGCCCACAGTCCCTCTCCTTCTCCTTCTCCACAAACCCTCCCTCCCTTCTAGCACTGATGATGTTACTTAGTTGGGTCATGAAACTGCAAGAAAACAAGCCAGTTCAGAGAATCCTAAGGATCCCCATAGTCTTCCTCCTCCTCTTTTCCACAATCCACACTCCCTTCTAGCACTGTTGATGTTACCTAGTGGGGTCATGAAACATCTGCAAGGAAGCCACCAAGCTCAGAGAGCACCAAGGACCCCACAGTTCTCCTCCTCCTCCTCCTCCTCCACCTCCACCACCACAAATCCCACTCCCTTCTAACATTGATGACATTCTCTAGTTGGGTCACGAAACGTTTGCAAGAAAACAACCAAGCTCAGACAGCATCAAGGAACCCACAGTCCCTCTGCTTCTCCACAAACCCTTCCTCCCTTCTAGCACTGAGGATGTTACCTAGTTGAGTCACGAAACGTCTGCAAGAAACAACCAAGCTCAGAGAGCACCCAGGACCCCACAGTTCTCCTCCTCCTCCTCCTCCTCCAACCTCATTCCCTTCTGGCATTGATGATGTTACCTAGTTGGGTAATGAAAGGTCTGCAAGAAAACAACCAAGCTCAGAGAGCACCAAGGAAGGTCCCCACAGTCGTCCTCCTCTTCCTCTTCCTCTTCCTCCTCCTCCCCCTTTCCCTTCTAGTACTGATGATATTACCTAGTTTGGTCATAAAATGCCTACAAGAAAACAAGCAAGTTCAGAGAGCACCAAGGACCCCATAGTCCTCCTCTTCTTCTTCTTCCTCCTCTTCCTCCTCAAACCCCACTCCAAGGAAACCCCACCCCTTAACTCTGAATTGCAAGCATTATCTTCTCTCGAGAGGAACCGTGTCCCCAAGGGAGGGAGGCGTTGTCCACTCCAACCCATCTGCCTTTCCAAGACCGCTGCCATTGGCTTCTTCTCCAAGTAGGGGATCCGGAGTGGCCGCTTACCTACAAAATACGCCAGCAGCACCACCAGCGTGATGGAGATGAGGATGGCGCTGAAGGCGGCGCATTTCCAGGTGCAATACTTGTATGGCTTCTTCAGGTTAAAGGCGGGCCTGGAAAAGGTGCTTCTGGGGAGGGGCCGAGGGGGCGGCGAGTAGACCGTGCTGGATGTTAAGGGATACCCTGGCGAAGTGGTGCAATAGAGCGGAGACGTTCCACCTGGCTTGAACAGGAAGTGCCTGCGGGAGGAGAAAAAGGACAGGGGGTCAAGGCAGGGTGGAGGCCCCCGCGCAGCCCACCGGGCTACGAAGCCTCGATGGCAACACAACGGAGGCCAGATTAGCACCATGCATCGAAGAGGAAGGAAGGGGAGAAAAAGGAGGAAAGGAAGGAAGGAAGGGAAGAAAGAGGGAGGGAGGGAGGAAGAAGAAAGAAAGAAAGAAAGAAAGAAAGAAAGAAAGGGAGGGGGAAAGAAAATAAAGGAAAGGAATGGGGAGGGAGGAAGGAAAAGGGGAAGGAAGGAGATAGGAAAATGTAAGGAGATAGAGTGGAGGGAAGAAAAAAGGAGGAAGGAGGGAAGGAAGGAGAAGGGGAAGGAGAAGGGGAAAGGGAAAGGAAGGAAGGGGATAAAAAGAAGGGAAGGAGAGGAAGGAGAAGGGGAAGGAAGGAAAGAAAGAAAAAAAAGAAAGCGGGGGAATGGAGATAAAGGGAAGGAATGGGGAGGAAGGAAGGAAAAGGGGAAGGGGAAGGAAGGAAGGAAAGAAAGGAGATAGGAAAAATAAAAGGGGATAGAGTGGAGGGAAGGAAAAGGGAGGAAAGAGGGAAGGAAGGAGAAGGAGAAGGGGAAAGGGAAAGGAAGGAAGGGAGGGAGGGAGGAAGGAAGGAAGGAAGGAAGGAAGGAAGAAAGAAAGAAAGAAAGAAAGAAAGAAAGAAAGAAAGACAACCATTAAAAAGATAAAATGGAAACCAGACTTCAACCCTATGGAGGTACTGAAGATATATAACTGTCAGACTGTTTGAATTTATTGTCCTTTTTTGTTTTTGGTTGGTTGGAATAAAGAGGGGGAGACTTAGATTTAGGAGGAATTTCACTTGGTTTGATCTGTTGCCTTCCAAGGATCATTGAGCAGGAGTTTACAGGTAGCCCTCGACTTACAACACCTCGCTTAGTAACTGTTTGAAGTTACAACGGCACTGAAAAATGTGACTCTGGTGGGCGTGGCCTACTTGGCCTCCTGCACCATGGCAAGGCAGGTGGGGGTGGGATTTTCCCCAGGCTCCAGAGGTTTCGGGAGGGCGAAAATGGCCTCCCGTTTCCAGACATCCAGGAGGCCCCCTTTTTCACCCTGCCAGAGCCTCTGTGCGGGCCCTGAACTTACCTGGCATCCAAAACAGGCTACATGGACACTCCTGAGGGGATGGGGCGAGGCCAGCCAGTCCTTGGAATTACTGGGTCGGCTAACCAGATGTAAAATTATCATCCGGTTCACTGTAACTGGTCCGAACCGGCTGAATCCCCATCCCTGAAGTGTTGGCTTAAACCAGCGATGGGGTCATACACCCCCCACCCCCCGGATTAAATGACAGCCTGGACGTAACACCTTTATTATTTTTATAAATCACTCAAGGCAGCAAAAATGTCCAATATTCTTTCCTCTTTCTATTTCCCCCACAACAACCCAGTGGGGTGGGTAGGGCTGAGAGAAAGGGAGTGGTTGAAAATTATCCAGTCAGTTTTCATGCCTAAGGTGGGACTAAAACTCACCATCTCCTGGTGATTGGCCCAAAGGTTTCACACCTAAGGTGGGACTAGAACTCACAAACTCCTGTTAATTGGCTCAAGCCATCCAGTCAGCTTTCATGCCTAAGGTGGGACTAGAACTCACAAACTCCTGGTGATTGGCTCAAGCCACCCAGTCAGTTTTCATGCCTAAGGTGGGACTAGAACTCATCATCTCCTGGTGATTGGCCCAAAGGTTTCACACCTAAGGTGGGGCTAGAACTCACTGTCTCCTGTTAATTGGCTCAAGACACCCAGTCAGATTTCATGGCTAAGGTGGGACTAGAACTCACAAACTCCTGGTGATTGGCTCAAGCCACCCACTCAGCTTTCATGCCTAAGGTGGGGCTAGAACTCACTGTCTCCTGCTGATAGGCCCAAAGTCACCCAGACAGCTCTCCTACCTAAGGTGGGACTAGAACTCACCATCTCCTGGTTCCTAGCCTAGTGCCTTCACCACTACGCCAAACTGCATTTAAATCAGGGACTACGTGACCTCTGCTGTTACTGATGTGGCTTTTAAAAATAATTTTATTGGATACACCTTGTGCAATAGCTCGTGCAACGATTATTTGGATTGTTGTTGACTGCCAATTGTGTTCTATGTTTTTCCCGTGTCTTATTTTACTTTTTAATTGAGTTTTCAATTGAGGTAAAGCATTGTGTCTTCGAGAATAAGGTGGCTGTGTGACAGATACAAAAAATAAGTAATAAATAAGGATTTCATCACGATTCCTCACACTGCTTCAATTATTGAATTATTTGCTTCGGTGGATAAAAACAGTAGAAGACAATCCCCCCCCCCCACAACGCTGATGTAGGGTGTAACAAGAAAGAAGTAGGGGATGAGTATTCAAATGAATGGCTAAATCTTAAAAAGACTGTTTTATTATTATTATTATACTTTATTCATTATAAAATGAAACTCAGCCAACCGAACATCCAAAAATGTATCACAAATACCACTGACTGGTGTTAATGGTTGATATGGATTGCTGCCAGTGTCCTAGGTATCAACCAAGAACATTATTATTATTATTATTATACAATTGTATCACAGCGGCCAGTTGTTTCGCCGGATTTGGCATTGGTTACTAGTCGGGCCCCACCCAGGGTCTAGGACGTCGTAACGTATTTTCGTAATATGCAGATCCAAGCAGTGCGGCTTTTTGCATTTGACTGGTGGTGATTTTGTCAATTTTTAACTGTTTTAAACAGTTAAAAATTGACAAAATCACCAC